CAAGAAGCTAATCCAATTCCAACATATTTTTTGACAAGACCTGCGAAAATACATCCTGGTTGATCCATTCTTGAATTCTGGTAGCTAGAAGATATAAAAAGCTACTTAATAAATGTATTTTTAATTTCTTTTCACTTAATTATGCACAGGATACATTTATAAATTTACGTTCTCATTTACCTTTTTGAAATTAACTTAGTATGCGGGATTATTTGGGATTGTCGAAGTTTGTCGCTTTTATTACCTATTCGAATATCGTTTAGTAAAAATGGTTCTATAAAAATATAGTAAACCCCTAAGCCCAAATATGACATAAAAGAGAAGTGTGATAGCCAATCAAATGCACAGATCTGTTCGCAGATCATTCTAGAACCCGATTTCCAAATCGGGTATATTCCCGGACTGCAATATGGCTATATTCTGCAATCTTTTGTAAAAGAATTTGTAAAAAGTTGTATGACATATACAACTTGAAGAAGTTTTTCAAATACAGTAGCTGCAAAGCTAATAATTTTAAATGCTTTTCCAATTGGCTCAAGTAGATTTAATTTCTATAACATTCCTAATGGTGATTATCATTATATATGCCATATCCATGATTTCTTTACATGCTATTCTTGGGCTCAAGATGTAGCTAGTAAGCACCAATTGAGACAGCAATCTTTTTTTTAATATTTTTGTCTGCTTTGGTGCCACAATTATTCTCTAGAGTAATAACAATCATAAGTTTACTGCAGAATTAATCTATAAATTATTAACTATATAGCCTGATGTTCATATCAATAATGGTCACCCAAGGTATTCTTAAAGCCAAGGGCTTATGAAATGCGTGACTGATATACTTCAACAAAAAGTATTGAAATGGATGAGGAACACATAAAGAAAAAATGGGTCTCATACTATGCCGTTGTACTGCTATATATATTTGATTTATTGAATTTAGTTAAATTTATGAGCTAATTTTACAGATTTTGATTTTTAATAAATACTATTAATATACAAACATTACAACAGACTAAAAGCAGTCATATTTATTAGCATTTAGTCAATTATTTTATGTTACTTTTTGTTGTTAAATGAAACTAAAGAGCAATATATTAGCTATGATGATGAGCTACTTAATAATTGGGTTGAATCTTCTGTGCTTCAGGATGATTTTAATTGGCAAGAAGTGTGAAATCACTTTTAGAAGCTACAGTTTTGAATATAGAAGTAAAGATTTTTTTATAAAATATGTTAATGTCTTTTATTTTTAGGAACAACAATTTCTGAACAAAATTAATGAAGAGGAGGATAAAATAATGGAAAGTGAAATAGATGAAGCAGTAGATGAAAGTGTAGATGAAAGGGTAAATGAAATAGATAATAGTATAAATGAAGTGGAAGTTGTAAATGAGTTGGCAGATGAAATGATAGATGAAATAGTGAATAAAATGGTGGATAAAATGATAGATAAAATAGAAGTAAATGAAATAGTGAACGAAATTATGGTAGATGAAATACACTGGTGATCAAAAATAATGCAGCAAAAAAAAAAATTCGTTAGATCAAATTACCTCATGCAATTTTGCATGTATCCTTTTACTTTTTTTTTTTATTTATTTGTAAATAGTATCACTTTCACCAATAAAAATTTTTTAAAAAATTAATCAATTAAATTTTTCAGATGCATGAGCTTTATTTGAATTCATATACTGCATTATTTTTGCTTATTTTTACAGCAGCATGACCACAAAATAAAAAAAATTTTTTTTTACATTAAAAAAACATTTTTTTTTTTTTATTTAATTTCTCACACTTTTACTATCTAGTATAGCCACCCTGGGCTCTAATAATGTCACAAAGCTGTTCTGGTATTGATCGAATCAGGTTTGTACAGGTCTCAGCATCAATTTGCTTCCATACCACCTGGATTTTAATCCAGAGGTCTTTTTCACTTGAGATATTGCCTGGAAGCTTTCTTAAGTAACAGTCGACTTCAGCCTACAGGTGTTCAATTGAGTTGAGATCAGGAGATGAGGGGCCAATCAAAGGTTTTCACTCTATTCCTTCTAAGCCAACGTTTGGTTAACGTTGCAGTATGGCAAGACAGGGATGGTA